GGCTACATAAAACAGCCATAGCCGTTTATGACATCTGCCATGTCATTATCATGATAGTTTTACGTAGCTCTGATGATCAAGGGTTCAAGTTGTGTTACCCAACAAGACTAGGCTGACATGATCACGAGGCCCAGATGTCAGGCAACACAACATAGACTACTCTTCTGTTCTGCCTTTATCGAGTTACCTTTACCAGAGCACTGGGAAAATCTAGCACTAATTCTGCCTCAATTTGGCACTAGGGCTTTGAAGTGAGGTAGGTTACAGTGAGAGAAGAGGAAGGAATAGAAGCTTCCAGAACAGCAAGAGCTTCTTTAGAAGAATGGGAAGGAAACAACAGTTGAGTGTTCCATTGCTCACCTCTCCCAGAGCGAGCTCTAGAACATGAGATCAACAGACATCGTCGTGGTTACTACTGAGTACAGGAAATTCCACATCTCTGTAATACAGACTGGTTGCGCTGCATTGTTAGACTGGTCCATGGTCACCCATAGAAACATGTTCAGATCACATTTGAATTGCATATGCTCGGTCTGTACACACCATGCCTATATTACTTGGTTTTTCAAAAACCTGTTTCCTTTTAACAAAGGCTATACAGTCCTGTACATGCAGTTGAAATGTACTTCAGGTTCCGCCACTGATTATGTGTCATGCTGTTAGTAATTCAATCTGTTAGTAATTCAATGAACTCAAGCAAACACACCCTAATAAGTAAAATCACACCATCATTGTTGATATTGGACAGTTCTATAGAGGAGTTCCCTACCCTGCTGATCTGTTAGCCATAACGGCCACACATTCCAGGAAGAGTGAGTCAGAGCGGCCGACACATAAGGAGGAATTACACAGGAATTACCTCACCAAATAGATCCATCTCAGGATGACAGACTGCTGTTAAACAAAGAAACCAATTTTGTGTGTTCGTGTGTGTGTGTGTGTGTGTCTGTGTGTGTGTGTTTTGTCTGTGTGTTTTGTCTGTGTTTTGTCTGTGTGTGTGTGTGTGTGTTTTGTCTGTGTGTGTGTGTCTTTGTTCGTGCGTGCGTTGCTAACATGCATCTGACATGAAAGGCCTACTGGACTTCACAGCCTGGGTGACCAATCAAATACACACTCATCACACACTACACTGACACTAAACCCACACACAATCACATACACTACCAGCATTCACATACACTATATATGTACACACACACGCATACCGACACAACACAAACACACACACACAGTTGTACACTAATCATATGCTGCTACCCTCCTGCCCTCCCTCCACTTTATCTGATCATCATATTCTGCTACCCTCCTGCCCTCCACTTTATCTGTTCATCATATGCTGCTACCCTCCTGCCCTCCACTTTATCTGTTCATCATATGCTGCTACCCTCCTGCCCTCCACTTTATCTGTTCACATATGCTGCTACCTCTTGCCCTCACGTTATCTTTCATCATATGCTGCTACCCTCCTGGCCCTCCACTTTATCTGTTCATCATAATGCGTGCTACCCTCCTGGCCCCTCCCACTTTATCTGTTCATCATATGCTGCTACCCTCCTGCCCTCCACTTTATCTGTTCATCATATGCTGTTACCCTCCTGCCCTCCACTTTATCTGTTCATCATATGCTGTTACCCTCCTGCCCTCCACTTTATCTGTTCATCATATGCTGCTACCCTCCTGCCCTCCACTTTATCTGTTCATCATATGCTGCTACCCTCCTGCCCTCCACTTTATCTGTTCATCATATTCTGCTACCCTCCTGCCCTCCACTTTATCTGTTCATCATATTCTGCTACCCTCCTGCCCTCCACTTTATCTGTTCATCATATGCTGCTACCCTCCTGCCCTCCACTTTATCTGTTCATCATATGCTGCTACCCTCCTGCCCTCCACTTTATCTGTTCATCATATGCTGCTACCCTCCTGCCCTCCCTCCACATTATCTGTTCATCCTCTCACTTGCTCTTCCTCCTTCCCTTCGTGGCTTTGTTTGTCTTTCTTTCTCTCTCCCTCTCTTTCTCCCTCTCTTCTTACCACTCCTCCCCCACACAATCTCTGAGGAGTCTCTCTCTCTTGCTCTCTCTCTCTCTCTCTCTCTCTCTCTCTCTCTCTCTCTCTCTCTCTCTCTCTCTCTCTCTCTCTCTCTCTCTCTCTCTCTCTCTGTGTTTGCACACTCGCACAGTGTCTGCAGACACACAGATTCTAATCTGCGGTCAATTGATCCATGGCTGTGACAGCCCACCAGGACCCTAGGCTAGTCTGCAGCCCCACCAGGACCCTAGGCTGGTCTGCAGCCCACCAGGACCCTAGGCTGGTCTGCAGCCCACCAGGACCCTAGGCTGGTCTGCAGCCCACCAGGACCCTAGGCTGGTCTGCAGCCCGCCAGTGGGTCTCTGTGGAGGCTGACCAGTAGCTGGCTAGTGTCTGACTAGCAGCCTACAGAAGTAGACCCTGCGGCAACAGCCATTTAAGCTAGTTCCAACACATGGAGTGTAATTGAGAAAGCATATGAGGTGTGAAAATAACAGGCTACCAAGTGAATGTGGTTTAACAACACAACCATAGATCTGGATTAGGGGAATATAGGGTTCGTTTTCCCTGAGGTGGTTCATTTAATGTTGGACAGTAGCTTAAAGAGCGATTTGAAGAAGCTCAACTCAACCTTCCTCAGTCTGTGAGCAAAAACATAAAGCCAATTTAATATTATAACACAATTTCAAACTGTAACTTGAGAAGGTTGGGGAAATGAAAAAAGCAGCATTTCTAAATGTTTAGTCATTCTTCTCCTCTACACTGAGACAAAGGGGAACCGATGATGACAGCATCTGTCTGTCACACCTTGTCCATGTGATGCCTGTTTCTAGCGGGGGGATGCCACTGCACACTGCCAGGACCCAATACATATAACTTTGAACTGTTGTGAGCTCTCTGTCATGGGAGATGAGCTCACAATATATCACTTTTGTTTCTTATCTCTAGCCTTCTGTCACACTATAGTTAAGCAATAAGGCCTGAGGGGGTGTGGTATATGACCAATATACCACGGCTAAGGGATGTTATTATGCACGACGCAAACAAGGCGTGCCTGGATACAGCCCTTAGCCGTGGTATATTGTCCATATACCACAAACCCCCGAGTTGCCTTATTGCTATTATAAACTGGTTACCAACGTAATTAGAGCAGTAAAAATAAATGTTTTGTCATACATGTGGTATACGGTCTGATATACCATGGCTGTCAGCCAATCAGCATTCAGGGCTCGAATCACCCAGTTTATAATTCAGATTGACTTGCACTGCTTCCCGCCAATGAAAACCAATAGCGTCAAACTATGAGTTGCATTGCAGTAACATTTATCATATTTCTCCTTTTCTCACAGTTTTTTTTGCACAGTAGTTTGATCAGTTCATGTTCATCAGTGATTTGGTGGTGGTGGAGGTGAATGTTCCCAGCTCTTAGCATCCAATCACACACACTAATATTTCTTCATATTTATATCCCCCGTTGACAACAATTAGCATATTCAGGAAATGACAGTATGTGACACCGCATGGTGAACATCGTTAGCAGCAGTCGACACCATTAGTGGCTCATTTGAATGGCGAGAGGTGGGGAGGGAGGGGCTAAATTTTGGGGCCCCAGGCCCCGGGGCGATGCCGCAGAATGAAGTGCTTTCCTTCACGCAAAGCAGGACCCTCTCCCTTATTTAGGGCCTCATTATGTGTTTACTATGACAAACAGCTGCAGGGCAAAGTCAAGGGAACTCCTCATATCTCACTGTAAGTGCTGCTCAGAGAGTCTGTGTGTGTGTGTGCGACGTGGTTTCCTCCACTATGCTACAGTGGAACACACTGACTGACCTGGTGAGATAGGTGAGAGACAGCAGATGTTGCCTCTGGGCTCTGTCATCATTCATATTCATCTCCTCTATGCACACACAGTCCCAGGAAAGGTTATTTAACAGAGTAGACCTACGAGTTGTTGTGGTTGTTTACATTTTACATTTTAGTCATTTAGCAGATGCTCTTATCCGGAGCGACTGACAGTTAGTGCATTCATCTTAAGATAGCTAGGTGGGACAACCACATATCACAGGCATAGAACGTACATGTTTCCTCAATAATGTAGCTGTCAGTAGAATAATGTAGCTGTCAGTAGTTTAATCAGACAAAATTCTTTTTTAGACAAGTTCAGTGATATTTCAGTGACTGGCTCACAGAAAGATGATGAATTCTCTGTTGTAGCCTACTTCTGGAGAAAGACATTGTGAAATAATGGGACCAGCACATTTTTCCCAAATGTTATTTAATGTGTCCTTTCATTCATACACTGCATTCAAAGTTGTTCCATTATCGAATTACCTTCATCACCCATCTTATCCCTGATGAATAGGCGGGCCTACTTAATCCAAAACAAATGTCATTTCCCTCACTCTTAATCTTGAACCACTCCAGTGTCCTTCATCTCAAAGTTAATTGAATTAATCTCTGTTTTCTGGGGGGGGGGGGGGGGGGGGGGGGGTTGGAGACACAACAGGTGGGTTTAGCCTGTTGTTACCAGATGCAGAAACTGAAGCAGACCTACCAGAAGTTTTTTTTTTTACGTTGCGGTTTTGTTTTCAAGAGCCTCTCTCCATACATATGCCTGCTTCGTTTAGTTAGGTAACTTTATGAATACCTTCATCTTGAGGTGTCCCATTTATTAAACCGCAATGATAATGACTTTTTTTGTACTATCAGGAAAATACATTTGCTGGCTTCTTTTCATCTCTGAACATGTCTCTCTTTTCAGCTCCTCTGAGATCCTGAAATACCTAGAAATAGAGGGCGCTGTCCTCGTGGTAATGTTGATTGCCTCCACGAGGGAGAAAGGGGCGGACTACTGCTTCACCAAATTACCGGGGAAAGCGATTGGTTCACCGGCCCATATATAAACCCATATATAAACCCCCGTGCGCATCGCTGAGCATTAGCCACAGTAGTTTATAGGTGCACCGAGGACCGTGTGAATGAAGCTAAACAATATCACAGGACAGGAGTAATTGTTATGGGGGATCTGATTTCTGTGCGGAGCTTTTCTATTTGAAGTTGGCAATCTACAGACATTTTAAAAGTCAATGAAGGATACAGGATCCAGTCAAAAGCTTTCACCGAAATCCGGGATGGATCCTAACCAGAGCGTAAAGTGTAAAATTGTCGTCGTTGGCGACAGTCAGTGTGGAAAAACTGCTCTACTTCACGTCTTTGCGAAAGATTGCTTTCCAGAGGTATGTTGTTGGATGTCGTTTGGGTAAATACAAAAAAACGTGCGCGCTTGTGCTGTTTGCAAGGCGTTACCCGAGGAAGTGTTGGAAAATGATATTGTGAACTTTCGCGTGCGCTTTTAAGCACATGCAAGTTTTCCATAATTCAAATGATCTGCTTGCAGAGTTATGTATCAAATTGCGATGGAGAATGTTTTTGTGGGTACAACTCATCACAGCATTGTTGGATAATTGTGTGTGTGATCGACAATGATGCATTGTCAATTCTTTATTTTATAGAATTATGGCCCAACGGTGTTTGAGAACTACACAGCCAGTTTCGAAATCGATACGCAAAGAATAGAACTCAGTCTCTGGGACACTTCAGGTGAGAAACTTTGCATTATAATATCTTAATGTGTTTTATTTCAAATCTCAATAGAATTTCTTAGACATGACTGTGCCTCAGGGAACGAGTCCGACTGTGGAATTTGGATTGGCACAGTGAAATGTGAGCGTTCGAATTACAGTCAACATTTAGAAACTTGTGGGAAATCAGACTGCTCTCTGCCTGAAACCTTAATTTGACGGGTCATCAATACATTAAACAAGCCCAGTGAGTGGAGATAATATCCAGAGATGGAACTCAGTGACGCATCTCTGGAATGTTGGGATGGACCGCTGTAGCGCGAGGATTTGTCTTGAATGTGCAGTGTCCATATCCACGCCTCTTGGCTCAGAGCTGCGTAAAAACAGATGCCGCCATTTGGCACTCAGTGGAGGCACCAGCTAAGAAAACAAACACACAAAATACATTTGCATCATCTGCAAATTAAACGAATTATCTATCTTCTGCGTTTTGAAAAGCATATAATTTATAAAAAGGCCTGATTGGTGATAGCAACAGCCCAACTCCGCTTAATCACTCGGCTCCCAAATAAATGCTGACACATTGCTTACATTACCTGTTATTGGTACAAACAATTCCTGCATACAGGACGAAAGCGGGGCACCACTTGCTGACTGGGTCCATCTTTATTGTCTTAATGCAGTGGTGTTTGGGGTTTTGATTAGAGGCTCATTTAAAGATGACTCATTAGCCCTCCCACTGACATCCACGCCTGTTTCATGTAGATGCCCCTCAGGCTGGTCACTTACCTCTTAGAGGAGCAGGTCAGATAATGAGTGCCTGGGGGGCAGGCGAGGGGCTGTTGATCTGGTGTTTAGGTAGGGTGTAGTAGTCTAGGAGACAAAGCATTTGGTCATTGCTGTCACTTGTTTGGAGCTTCTTGACATCTCTAGTCTAATGAGACAAAGGACCGCTTGTTTGTAAGACTGGTCTGTCTTCCGGTCTTTTTAAGGATCTTCTTTCATGATCTTGATTGTTACTTCATTGTTTTTGTAGTTCAGCCCCATGACTGTGGCTGGGCTTCCCTCTGCTATGGTAGCACTGGCAGAGCTCTTGTATCTGGGTTGAGAGAATTTGAGCTGCATATCTTGCATGCCATTCACAAAAGGCCTGTTTTTTTTTCTACTCCCAAAGACACAATTGTTCAACATTGAGTTTTTTTTTTAAAGCTCGTTTTCAAAACTCTGCCTTTATTTTGAGCAAAACCTCCTCATGTTTTATATCTGAAGTACAGTGCCTTCGGAAAGTATTCAGACCCCTTGACGTTTTCCACATTTTGTTACGTTACAGCCTTATTCTAAAATGGATTTAAAAAGAATTAATCATACAATACCCCATAATGACAGCAAAAACAGGTTTTCAGAAACTTTTGCAAATGTATTAAAAATAAACATACATTATTTACATAATTATTCAGACCCTTTGCTATGAGAACTCGATGGTCACTCTGACAGAGCTCTAGAGTTCCTCTGTGGAGATGGGAGAACCTTCCAGAAGGACTACCATCTCTGCAGCACTCCACCAATCAGGCCTTTATGGCAGTGGCCAGATAGAAGTCACTCCTCAGTAAAAGTAACATGACCGCCCGCTTGGAGTTTGCCAAAAGGCACCTAAAGACTGTCAGACCATGAGAAACAAGGTTGAACTCTGGCCTGAATGCCAAGCGTCACGTCTGGAGGAAACCTGGCACCATCCCTACGGTGAAGCATGGTGGTGGCAGTATCATGCTGTGAGGATGTTTTTCAACGGCAGGGACTGGGAGACTAGTCAGGATTGAGGCAAAATATAGAGATCCTTGATGAAAACCTGCTCCAGAGCTCTCAGGATCTCAGTCTGGGGCGAAGGTTCACCGTACAACAGGACAACGACCTTAAGCACACAGACAAGACAACGCAGGAGTGGCTTCGGGGTAAGTCTCTGAATGTCCTTAATTGGCCTAGCCAGAGCCCGGTCTTGAACCCAATCGAACATCTCTGGAGAGACCTGAAAATAACTGTGCCGCAAACGCTCCCCATCCAACCTGACAGAGCTTGAGAGGATCTGCAGAGAAGAATGGGAAGAAACTCTCCAAATACAGGTGTGCAAAGCTTGTAGCGTCATACCCAAGAAGAATCTAGGCTGTAATTGCTGCAACAAAGTACTGAGTAAAGGGTCTAAATACTTTCCGTTTATTTTGTATAAATTTGCAAACATTTCTAAACCTGTTTTTGCTTTGTCAATATGGGGTATTGTGTGTAGATTTGATGAGGGAAAAAAAAAAAAAAAAAAACATTTTTTCTAATCATTTTTAGAATAAGGCTGTAACGTAACAAACTGTGGAAAAAGTTGAGTGGTCTGAATACTTTCCGAATGCACTAGTTTCAAACCAGACTGTTAAGCTGAGTGAATGCACCAGTAGGTGATTTGTTTGGATATGTAGAACCAGGCAGTTCCATGCAGAAGCCAAGAACAGGGTGTAGATGGATAAATGCCATTGTACAGTAACAGTACATCCCCATGTTATGTCCCCATGTTATGTGTTTACACCATGGCTATTTGAGAAGCCGATAGCCCTAGTAACTCCACATCAAGTCCGACATAGCCATACATGCATAAGCAGAGTGATGCTTTGCGTTGAGGTTTTCCCACAGTGAAAGATGACTCCATGTCACCGGTCAGGGACACAGTCACCTCAGTGTTTTAGAGGTCCCTGGAGACCCCTCCTCTCGGTGTGTAGAAACATGTCCTCCATCATACAGGGATGGGGAAGGAGGAGATGGGTATGTGGCCGTCTGAATCAGGGGACTGAACAAGCCTCAGGGCTGCACTGAAATGGGGCTAATGAGCTGTCTGCAGTGCCATCAACCTTCGTCCTTTTCCTGTGCTCCTGTATTATCAGTGTCCCCAAAGTGACTATGGTTTGTCTGTTTCTTCATAGTACATTTTAACAATCAGCCTACATTTATATACTTTTGATGAATCTATTCAATACCGTTAAACATTCTTATCTTCATTCTTTAGCTGATCGATGAGCAGTCCCATAGTTCAGAAGGGTAAAGGCCAGGGAAGGGCCACGTGTCATCGCTGAGTTATCAGCTTGGCCAGACCAACCAGGGTGGTCTTAACAGACCAGTTAGGGGTTTGTTTGTATGCTGTAGCGGGGGGCACGCACGCGCAACTCTTCTGTTTGGCGTTCTCAAAGGATCTCCCAGACATGCTTGTAATCTGGAGAAAATAAACAAATATTCCTGGCATAGCATTCCACATCTGTAAGCTCAGATGTTCCACTGCCAGTCATCAGACTGTAAATGTATTGTTGTGCTTTTAATGAGGTTGTAACTACACTTGGTGCTTTTCCAAATTCAGTTTGTGGAATCTCATGCATCTTGCTTTTTACATGTGGCATACCTCTACTGGATATGAAGTCATAAAAGTAGTCTTTAATTTGCCTGGTGTCCTTACCTGACTTTGTTGGTGACTCCTCCGGGCATTGTTATATTAGCATGCACCGTGCAGTAGAATTGAGGAAATGAAAAATGCATGTGGAAAGATGTTTCAAAGACATGCAAAAAAATGTAGCACGCCACATTTAGATTGCCTCAATCCAGCCTGCTCCTAATCAGTTGCCCAGTCCCCCTATTATGTCGTGGGGGATAACTGGCGGGATCTTTTATGTACTGTACAGCAGTGACCAGGGACGGGAGTGACTAATTAGTTTCTTAGCTGAAGCTCTGAATAGCTAGAGTAATCAGTGAACCCCCCCCCCCCCCATATCTGCTCCATTTAGAAGAGGTCTCCTGTCCTAATTCTGACTGTGGGCTCTAGGCTGGGTATGAATGGACGCCAGAGCTCCGAGCATGGAGAGCGAGCATGGGAGATAGCCCCACGGGGCAGATGAAATGATTACACGAGCTGTTACTAATTTATGGATGTCCCTAGGTGCTGACTCGCACAGTAGCCTACAGTGACATGGTGTCAGGCAGGAAGTTTGCTTTCCCTGGGTCATTCTAACACGCGCTGTATAAAATCTATGTCTGTAACTGAATACATTTTAGTTTTTAGCACAGTTACAGTGCAGAGCTGAGGAGATGTGATGTTCTTGATGGTGTGTATTAATTTAACCTATTTTGCATATATTGACCTGGCTCTTACGCTTGTGTTTGCAGGTTCACCATACTATGACAACGTGCGACCTCTCTCCTACCCGGACTCTGATGCAGTCCTCATCTGCTTTGACATCAGCAGACCAGAGACCCTGGACAGCGTACTGAAGAAGGTGCGTGTTTCGGGGCTTGTGTATGTCCTGTAGGTTGTATGCTTCCTCTGATTTGCCCCTGAATTATAGTAGGAAGTGGCCTGTCCCACTAGCATTTTCACTCGGCCCCCTTGACCCTCTCTGAAAGGCTTCTTTATGTTACTGGGTCAAGTGGCTTTTCAAAAACCAAAGTGCTCAAACTTTACCGGGCTTTACCAATGAGGGGACTAGAACTAGGCCTGTACCAATGCTAGGGGTCCACTAGGGTTGTACCAATGCTAGGGGTCCACTAGGGCCGTACCAATGAAAGGGGACTAGAACTAGGGCTGTACCATTGAGAGAGGTGACTGGGAGGAATGTGAAAACAAACTCACGTGAGGCTCAGTAGTAGTCCAACCGGCCTTGTTCACACATGGTCTCCCAGATCCCAGACACGGCTATTGTGGGTCTCAGTGCCCTTTGACCTGTGATGTCACCAACGCTCAGTATTGCGCCAGCTGAGAGGCATGTGGTCCTGTGTCTTGAACAACTGTGATCAGACTGGGCATTGTTGTGAGGGGAAACATGAGGAAGTTGTTCAAGGCACTGAATAAGCCTGGGAAAGTGGAAGAGGATGTTTTCCATTACTGAAGTTCTGCGACACAGAGCTGGCGCTGTCAGAGCAACCTTTTTTTGTTTTCGACAATGACCGCATGAGGGTGTGTGGGTGGTTGACTTGTTGAGAAGCTCCAGTGTCCATCAATATAGCCCTTTATGCACACGTCTTACTCTCAGAAGGCCAGATCATAACTTGAGATCTGTGCGCATAACAAAAAGTCAAGAGTTATCCACGCAAAACTCACGTTAGGTTGTCTGACACTGAATATTAGCCAATCCTGTAAAAGCACACCTTTTGTACTAGAAGTTTTGCTGATTTCTCTCTTTCCTCCGTATAGTGGAGAGGAGAGATCCAGGAGTTCTGTCCCAACACCAAGATCCTGCTGGTGGGATGCAAGTCAGATCTCCGCACAGACCTCACCACGCTGGTGGAACTGTCCAATCACAGACAGACACCCGTGTCATACGATCAGGTAGGCGCTACATGCATTTTGCGCATACTTTGACACTCACTTACTAGGACGCAATTAGTTTAATTGTTATTGGACTAGTATTGTGTGCCCTCTTTCACTTGGCACTATTAATTAATAATAAATAAATGTGGCATCTGTGTTTACAGCTATTTTTTTAAAGTCTGCTAAATGGCATATTTCAATTTGTGTTCCACGCTCACTCACTCACTCTCCCTCTCTCTCAGGGCTCTAACATGGCCAAGCAGATCAGTGCTCCCTACATTGAGTGTTCGTCCCTGCAGTCTGAGAACAGCGTCAGAGACCTCTTCCATGTGGCAACGCTGGCCTGCGTCAACAAGGGCAACAAGAACGTCAAACGCAACAAGTCCTCCAGGAGCACCAAGAGGATCTCGCACATGCCCAGTAGGCCCGAACTCACCGCTGTCACGACAGACCTGCGCAAAGATAAGGCCAAGAGCTGTACAGTCATGTGATCGCCCTAGACTAGGGAGACTGACTGTGGACTGTGGGAGGAGCAGGCAGGTGATGAGGACTGTGCATAGAGCCCCCCCCCCAGTTTTGGATCTCCCAAACCGTACCAACCTACATCTAGCTGCCCTGCTTTGGTGTATTTTTAAAGGTCAACAAACTAAACCACAAGAAAGAGGTGCTGACTTCTTCTCAACATTTCTTCACCCGCGGAAATGACATGTGCTTTTTTTGGTCCGGGATCTGGACAGGAAATGAGCTAACGGTGTCAGGTCTTTACTTTTGTCCTCAAAGAAAATGTGAAAAGAGAAATGTGTACGGTGGTGGATTCACCACTGAGTGAGAAGATTGTTGTTCAGATGCGAGAGACCGCTGCTGTGTACTGCTACAGTAAAATGGTTTACGAAGAGAAATGGATCTCTTGCACTGGCCCCCGGGTCTCGCACTTACAGACAGCAGTTAAAAAGGACAGAAAAACACTGGTTAAGATTGCCCATGTTTGAGTTTCTTCCACCTCTTTTCTCTTTTGTTACTGCCTTGATGAGTTTGCCAAATGGAAATGGGACGTTTGTATGTTTTTTTTTTGTTATAAGCAGTTGCACACTGTTACGACAGATATGAAAGCCTTTTTAATGTGTTCTACTACTTTGCATATTTTCTAGCGCTGTTTTCGATCCTCCTCATCGCCGGCCTTCCTCTTGTTTAGCTGTTTTTATCATTCATTTTACAACCAAAGAAAAGCTTGACAGAGTGGCGATATCTTTCACAGATTAGCAGTTGTTGCCAACGATTGTTGCGATTGGCTGCATAACGATCATAGCCAATGATTTGAAAGGATGTGCTACATTATCTCTGTTTGAGGACATATCCTACACCCTGGCTCCTCAGCTGTGCTGTCTGTAGCCCGACGCCAGTGCCTCCGTAAATGTCGGGGTGCCCACCCACGCCAAGCTTTACATGCAGGAGGGGGTTAACGATGCCAGTGCTGAGAAGGTCACTGAGCTCAGAAATCCATCATTGCACAGTTCTTTTCAAGGATGTCCTCAGCTATGCAATGCACGGATTCTGATGACCAATGTCTAGTTTTCAATGTTTGCTGGTTTGAAGGGGTGCTGTTTATTGATTTATGTGTGTAGCGCTAGTGCAGACTACACATCACTCACACTGTTTATCTCTGGTGCAGGTGCACCACAATCCGTAGCTTACTTTAATTAAAACGCATATCTCATAGCTAGTATCAGTGTTTGGCAATGGGCTGTGACTAGTTCACTGGGTCAGTAGGCAAAATCGAGTAGCTAAGTAGAGCTAGCCTGCAGGCCGTATCTATAGCTCCCTCCACCCTCTCCAAGCAGCTGCTGGTAAACTAGTTCTAAATCTAACCACTGCAGTTTTATTCTTCTGTTCTGTCAACAGTACTATGGGGTTTTCCAATTTCTCATAACTGGAGAAGTCTGAACTGCTTTGAGAATTGAGCCACCAAGGCAGTATTATCAGCTAGCGGGTGTAGCCTACTCTCTGTATGAAACATTTTTTTAATTAAAGGTCAGAAAGTGTTAGCTGTAGAACATCAACCTCTTTTGAATGTTTAGTCCATTTGAACGTCTGTATGATTGTTTCCACAGTATTTATTGTAGTTATATATTTTCCCTTTGACAATAAAGTTCAATGTACAGTTCAAGGTCCATTTCTGTCTTGATTGAGACTTCATCTTGACATGTCTTTGTCAAACTGTTTGGAATACCACAGATTCTGCCTGGATATCTTATCAGAGCCCATTTTGTTTTTCTTGCTGTATCCTCAGGCTCCTTGCAGTAAAATAATTGCGTCGCTTGGGATAATTAAGACATCTGATTAATATTGAATTATCTCATCCTTCTGGCACATTTAATAATCTGTGTGAACATCATGACATGGTAACCACATTTCTATTTCCGACTAGAGTGCTGTTTTGATTAAATTATTGTTCTCTCATCTACTTGGCCAGCTTGCACTTTCTCACCATGTTCAAACGATTGCCTATGAAGGTGTCAATTAGGTTTGACTCCATAGGACTGCTTTCACTCGCCAATGAACAACGTTGAGGAAATAAGGCAAATGTATCCCGTTTAGTTAGGTACTCCATGATGGATTATTCGGTTTCTAGTTTGTTTCCCATTTTTATATCTGAACATTAGCAATGACTTATTTCAAGACTGGATGTAGGCCTACAGTGTGGGATACATTGTAAATAAGTAGCTATGTTTCCATTTAAATTATTATTATTTTGTTGCCAAAACCTAGTGTGGAATACAAATGTAGTGGTTGAAGTGTTTCTGTTACCCATTTAGGCAAATTGCACATTAATAAATTGGCGACCCCCCCCCCCCCGTTTCATGTCTCAGGTAGCCCGCGAAAGCCAGGCTGGATAGAATGCATTAACTGACTATTTTCCATATTCTAATAAATTGGTTGCCTAGGCTAGTCCTTGCCATGGTGAAACTTGCACTCCTGTAGATCTGAAACAATTGGATGGTGAAAGTTGCCAGCCAACCAGAAAAGCAAGGTGACGCACTCTTCAAAGTCAGGAAAATCCTTGTCCTGCAAAGAAGCAATTTTTATACTTGAACATTTATTTTGCAAGCAGTAGGCATTTATAATTAAATGGAGTGGAGCTTAGATGATGACATCACGTGCCTTTCATACCTTAAAGTTAAGGTATTCGGCAATCATTTATTTGTGAAACAGTTTCAATTTTTCACAATGTTCGACAAAATTAAAAGAGAACCCCTGTCAAACGAATAAAAATGTCAATCTTTAGAAAATGACTCATCTGCCATTTCCATTGCACGTGGCAATGATTTTTTTTTTTTTTTTGCAACTTTGCTTTTGTGGAAACCTGCCTACTGAATGTGATTCAGACATTTTACAGAACCATGCAGGAGATAGAACAGTGGCTGTTCTGCTCATCAGATCACAGAGATGGAAACATGGATGCTCCGTTGATCCATTGATGCTCCGTTGATCCAGTGGGTGTGCATTAGAGGGTTCCAAAATGGGACCCTACCCGAATAAATGAATGTTTTAAAGGGACATTTCAAAATTGTTCAACTCCATATTCATAATCTCCAGCACCACCCCAACATCAACATATGAGAAACTGGCACGTTTTGTAGTAAAAAAGATAGATAAGTGTTTCCAATGACATCAACCAATTAGTAGGCAATGCCTAGTCATTGGTTCAAATCACACGATGCACACCGACAATGTCATTGGAAACGCTTATCATCTTTTTTTTATGTGCCATTTTCACATATGTTGATTTTGGAGTGGTGCTGGAGATCATGAAGTTGAACAATTTTGAAATGTCCCTTTAAAAAATGCATTTATTGGGGTAGGGTCCCATTTTGGAACGGGTTCTGCTGGGGGTGGGGCTGCTGTGTGTTTGACTGTCTGGCTGAGTGGTGTGAGGAGGTAGAGAGAGCCAGCAGCAACCAAGCCGACTCGCACTAGTTACTAACTTCTAGCTGCCAAAGCTAGGTTATTTAACATTCAATCTGATTACATAATTTAGTACCTGTTTTGCCTGCAGCAAAATGAGAAGAGAAGCTAGTTAAGCTAGCTAACTGGGTTGGCTAATCAAAGCTGCATAGGCTGCGCTTTCCCCCATCCTACACAATAACAACAACTCCATTCAAAGTATTAAGTAGCAGCCTACCTGTTGGCTCGTGGTCATTGAAAGATATCCTTCTCATGTACATTTTAATTCTGTCATTTTAATTCCATGTTCCATTGATCTCCTAACTTGCTTGCCATGACACACACAGAGCCAGAGTCTAGTGGCGCTTTAATGACTTGTGATTTGCAGACACGTACAACCAGCTGCACAAGCGCCTCTCGTGAAAAATTCACCACTTTCGTGAAAAGCCGCAGCAGTCAGGTACAGGTCCTTACCGGAAAATCAGTTATAATTACACATACCCGAGACCCGTGACAATCAGATCCGACCCGGATCCGAGGGTCAACTACAGAATTTCTGACCCGTCCCGGGTCGGCCCTGGGTAATCAGGTTCGGGTGGACCCATGAAGACCTCTACTGTGTATGTATCTGTGTGTGGAATGCACAGCATCATCCAACTCCTCATGATGGATTATGTGCTGATATCGCAGTTGTTTGCCGAGCTTTATTTTTTTCTCTCCGACCCCTCACTTCCTTTCCTCCCCAGTGAGCAGTTTGTCAGGCAGAACCCCTGGTAAATCTGTGACACAAGTATGACACATACATTTGTCATCAGCAGCAAGGCATGTAATTGCAGACAATTTGCCGCATGCAATGTGAATGCATAGTAATTATATCTGTAGGGGTCTTGTCACATTCACTAACTCCATAAAAGTCACCCTAACCATTTTTATGGTTCTAATGTACAGTGAGGGAAAAAAGTATTTGATCCCCTGCTGATTTTGTACGTTTGCCCACTGACAAAGACATGATCAGTCTATAATTTTAATGGTAGGTTTATTTGAACAGTGAGAGACAGAATAAAAAATTTAAAAAATCCAGAAAAACGCATGTCAAGAATTGTATAAATTGATTTGCATTTTAATGAGGGAAATATGTTTTGCAGAGGGGTCAAATACTTGTCTTAGTACTTGGTGGCAAAACCCTTGTTGGCAATCACAGAGGTCAGACGTTTCTTGTAGTTGGCCACCAGGTTTGCACACATCTCAGGAGGGATTTTGTTCCACTGCAGATCTTCTCCAAGTCATTAAGGTTTCGAGGCTGACGTTTGGCAACTCAAACCTTCAGCTCCCTCCACAGATTTTCTATGGGATTAAGGTCTGGAGACTGGCTAGGCCACTCCAGTACCTTAATGTGCTTCTTCTTGAGCCACTCCTTTGTTGCCTTGGCCGTGTGTTTTGGGTCATTGTCATGCTGGAATACCCATCCACGACCCATTTTCAATGCCCTGGCTGAGGGAAGGAGGTTCCCACCCAAGATTTGACGGTACATGGCCCCATCCATCGTCCCTTTGATGCGGTGAAGTTGTCCTGTCCCCTTAGCAGAAAAACACCCCCAAAGCATAATGTTTCCATCTCCATGTTTGACGGTGGGGATGGTGTTCTTGGGGTCATAGGCAGCATTCCTCCTCCTCCAAACACGGCGAGTTGAGTTGATTCCAAAGAGCTCAATTTTGTTCTCATCTGACCACAACACTTTCAATCAGTTCTCCTCTGAATCATTCAGATGTTCATTGGCAAACATCAGACGGCCCTGTATATGTGCTTTCTTGAGCAGGGGGACCTTGCAGGCGCTGCAGGATTTCAGTCCTTCACGGCGTAGTGTGTTGCCAATTGTTTTCTTGGTGACTATGGTCCCAGCTGCCTTGAGATCATTGACAAGATCCTCCCGTGTAGTTCTGGGCTGATTCCTCACCGTTCTCATGATCATTGCAACTCCACAAGGTGAGATCTTGCATGGAGCCCCAGGCCGAAGGAGACTGACAGTTCTTTTGTGTTTCTTCCATTTGCGAATAATCGCACCAACTGTTGTCACCTTCTCACCAAGCTGCTTGGCGATGGTCTTGTAGCCCATTCCAGCCTTCTGTAGGTCTACAATCTTGTCCCTGACATCCTTGGAGAGCTCTTTGGTCTTGGCCACGGTGGAGAGTTTGGAATCTGATTGATTGATTGCTTCTGTGGACAGGTGTCTTTTATACAGGTAACAAGCTGAGATTAGGAGCACTCCCTTTAAGAGTATGCTCCTAATCTCAGCTCATTACCTGTATAAAAGATACCTGGGAGCCAGAAATCTTTCTGATTGAGAGGGGGTCAAAAATGTATTTCCCTCATTAAAATGCAAATCAATTTATAACATTTTTGACATGCGTTTTTCTGGATTTCTTTGTTGTTATTCTGTCTCTCACTGTTCAAATAAACCTACCATTAAAATTATAGACTGATCATTTCTTTGTCAGTGGGCAAACGTACAAAATCAGCAGGGGATCAAATACTTTTTTCCCTCACTGTATGTATATATTTTTTACAATCTTATACATCACCTGCTGGTCAATCAAGGTTACAGCTCAGATGGCCCCTCTTTCCCTACAGCCCCAGTAGTCCCTAAAGAACCTGTGTCCTTGAACCCTAGAACATCTGCTATACAGTCATTGGCCTATCCCGTAATATTCCACGAGGTATAGGAAGCATGATGCATGACAGTTCCTCAAGTACTATGAGCTACACTACAACAATCTTAATGTGTTGTGAAAAGTGTTATGAAATGTATTGTCATGTAATATTTTAAATTGTATATAACTGCCTTAATGTTGCTGGACCCCAGGAAGAGTATCCCTGGCAGCAGCTAATGGGGATCCTTAATCAATACAAATACAAAATAAATACAAATCTCCCTTCGACCTCCTCCACCTGATGACCTTTTGGCAGTTCAACATAATACTGTTTTTCAGCTTGTGTGAAAACTGTTTGGGGATAAAGAATGTGTATTTTGGTCTGGCCTTGCAGGGTACTTGGTTTAGTAATGAACAAAGCAAATATTTATGCCCTGCTTTCCCTCCAGCTGCACATGGCGCCTAATGAAGGATCACGGGTGCTTCAGTAGCTACGTCCCAGGAATCCTATAGAGACAATTAATTTATACTATCTTTTGGTGTGTGTGTCTATGACT